GGTGTTTTTTTTTTTTGTTTTGTCTTGGGTGTGGGGGTGGTTGTTGGGGGGGGGGAGGAGGAAGTGGCATGATGTAGAACATGTAAAACACTTCAAATGCCTGTGTTTCGAACTGTTTCCCCGCACCCAATTGCAGCGCCACAAGTCCCATACCTGCAGACACACACACAGAGAGAGAGACAGAGAGACAAAGGGAGGGCGGGCTTACAGTGAAGAGACGCCATTGTGATGAAGTGATGGGTGTATGTGTGTTGGTGATGGAGAAAGAAGTAGAGGAAGAGAGAGAGAGACAGAGAGAGAGAGAGAGAGAGAGAGAGAGGGAAGAGATGACAAGGACAGGTGACAAGAAGGTTCAATGGCTGGAAGGAAGGTCCCCAGGAATGCAACCGCTTTTGTACTCGGGGGCAGGCGTGGCTTCCTGACATGCCCGTGACGTCATGGCGCCAGAACCTGGCTTCACTCGTGCTTGTCTCGATGCGGCCAAGTCTGCGCCTGCCTTGACCAAACAGTCTTGGATTGGGGTGCGCCCGCTGCCATTCTCAGTTGACTAGAATTGCCCATCCTTTTCACTCTAGAGTACTAGAGCGCTCTAGTTTTCTGCTACCCTTCTTCCTCTTCCTTCTTCCTGTCACGTCACGCTGGTTGCCCGCTCGGATACGTCACCAGTTCTCCACGGATGGATTGAATCAAGATGATGGATGGGGAAAGAAGAGAGCTCGGGCCATGTTCCCACCTCATCATCATCATCTTCATCATCTTCTTCTTTTTTGGTATCCGTTTGGGTGCTGATTTGCTGATTTGCTGATTTGCTGAATTGCTGGCTAGAATGGTGTCAGTCATGCGTTTGTGCCGCCGTTTCTCTCGGTGCAAGACCGGGATTACTATGTCAATGAAGATCCTGCACACCAAGCGTTCAAAGTCGCCGCTGGAGCGGTGGTGGAAAAGACCATCGTCGTCGACTAGCAAGATGGTGTCTTCTTCGATGCGACGTGAAGGGCAAGTCCCTGTAATCCGACGAGCACAAGTGCCAACACAAGCCATAGGCACAAGACATACACGGTTGGGCAGGGCAACCTGGGTTGCATCTAATCTCTCCATTGTTCATTCATATATCTTCAAGTACACAATCTTGCATGGCAGCAACCTCTGAAGCTAAACTCGACAATCTTCCCTACCCAGCCTCCCTAGTCTCATATCTCAAAGCGAAAATCCCGCTATACGCCTCACGTAGATGTTCCTAGGCCAAAGGAACTAGTGCCCGAGCTCAGTCTTTGCTCCCTCTCGGTTCAACAGTGGAAGACGCCCAGTTCCACCTCGTTGTGCTAAGGGGCAGCTGTATCGCCCTTTGCCGTCTCGGTGTTCATGATAGTCGCACTTTTTAAAATTCCCAGTGCGATTTGCTTTCTGGTAGTAGGTAAACTTGTTCAATACCGCGACGAGAAAGCGTGGTGGCGGGCCCATGATGGTCATATCCCATTCCTCGCGTGAAGCCTGGCAATTCAGGTCAATAACGAACTGGGCACATTCCAGATTCGTCGGGCAGTTTCTCAAACGCTTCCGAGGTGATGGAAGGATCAGGCAAACGTCCCGCCCTGAACGTCATGACACTGTATAGCTCATCCATCACCGTGTGTCTTAGCTGGGGCACATCGTATTTGTCGCAGAAGATGTAAAGCCGTATAAGATTCCTCGTCTTCTTTCGAGAGCCTTTCTCGTCATCACAAGTCCACAAGTCCACAAGCGCGGCGTCGTCCCTGTCCTCTGGAAATCGTCCGTAGTAGAGCCAGTGAACGAAGAACTCGACAATTTCAGGTTTGGTATCCGCCAATACCACCTCCTTCGTCTCGGATTCCTCAAACTTCCCTGTCAAGGCAGCCCGGAAGAAGGGCGAATGATGGGTTAGAAGGTCTTGGTGTATGGTGAACTCCGCTTTATCGAAGCCAACAACGATTTTGGCAAACACGGCATTCTTCACACTACTATCAAGTCAGCGCTATGTCTCGAAGTGTGTAAACAGTGACCTACGAGATGCGAGGATTAGGGCGCCTTGCCCCAGAGCCCAGCATGGTGTTGCGGCAAGTGAAGTGGTCCTGGGACGTTGTGTGAACAGGATGGTAGCTAACGAGTCGTGGTGATCGAGGGGAAAATTCTGTTCTATCGAGCAAGAAGCGAGGCGGCAGATTTTGGCAAGATATCCTGCGCTGAGTTGAACGATGAACTTGACGATGAACAGTGAAGGTGCAGCTGGATTGGGTGATGAACAGGGAGGGCATATCACTCCAGATGACAGATAAACGCGAGGTTTTAGCGGCTAGGTCCCAGAATTTCACGGGCGCCTTTGAACACGTGGTATTGTACACATCTACCTCATCGGCTTGACTCCAACGGCTTCAAATCTGGTTCCCCAGTCGTCGCTTCCTCGGTCGCCATATTAGCCTCCTTCGCCTCCCGTGCAGGCACCTTGCCCAGTGCCGGATTACGCCTCCTCTTTGGTAGCCCGTTGGGTAGCTTGTAATCATCTGTCTCCTCCAAAAAGTGCATCTGTTTCCTCGGCAGCTCCTCTGGGTAGACTTTGTGTGGCGGCGGCAGCACTCTGTCATCCAAGCCCTCGCGGTGCTCCAAGCGCATTCGCTCAATCATGGCCTGTAGCGTTTCCACGCCATCTTTGCGGAATTGCGTCGCCTTCTTGACGTGCTCGGCCTGCTTAGGAGACAGTCTGCCAGGCTTGGAGCGTGCGAGCGTCTTTGCAGTCATGGCAAAGTGCAGGTCCTTGGGTCCGTCGAGAAGTTCGAGAATAGCCGACTCCGCCTGGTCTTCCTTCAGAGGCTCTATGCGGGAGACGCGTGTGTAGCCACCAGGTCGGTCTAGGTAGCGCTCTCGTATTGGGCCAAAGAGCTTGGGCACGACTTCATCCGGTTCCTAGCATAATCAGCATCCAGGCCGAAATCTCGAGCCTTTGTCTGTCGTACATAGAGTATCTGGCGTGCCCTTCGCCTTGTCGCGTCTGTGTTCTTCTTCCCCAATGAGATCACCTTCTCCGCCAACCGTTGCGCTTCCTTGGCCTTTTGCCATGTGGTCGCTATCGATTCATGCTTGATGAGAGATGTTACAAGGTTTCGCAGGAGCGCTTGACGATGTGCTGACGCCCGACTTAGATGGCGGTATCTGATGTGGCCGCCCGCCATGGTAGCAGGTAATTGACGCTTCTAAGAGCGTAGAGGTCGGATGTTGTGGGATGTAGTGGGGAAAGGAGAATTCGTACGGCTTCCTGGCTTGACTACATGGATTTACATATATCGGTCATGTTCATGTTGGAACACCGCCATCGATGCATTGGGTCCCCTCCCGTGAAAAGTTCGGGAGCCGGCGCCATGTTTCTCCGATGTTCCCTGACTCGCGGCTCCCCGGCCCCGCGAGCAATCAGTCGCGCCAAGCAAAAAGAGAGAGAGAAAAAGCACTTCGATTCCTAAGCTGGGCGCACGCGTCAAGGCGCGTCTTAGTGTTTTCTAACGCGTCGTTGCTACTTCAACGAGCAAACCCCTCCCTGCTCTTCTACGACACACACACATACACTCTCTCTTTCTCTCTCTCACCCTCCCTATACCCAGAAGATACCTTTCTACAGTCCCTTCTGATCCAATATGTTTGTCTTCAAGCGTGGTAAGCACTCATTCCACCTGCATATATGGCTACAGTGATCCCTGTAGTGCATCTTGCATGTCGTTGGCAAGGCTAATGGCACGTCTAGATGGACGCAAGGAACGCGTGCAATTCGACAAGATCACCGCACGAGTATCGAGGTTGTGTTACGGACTTGACCCTGATCATGTCGATCCCGCTGCCATCACAATGAAGGTCATCTCTGGTGTATACCAGGGCGTGACCACGATCCAACTTGATGACTTGGTACGTCATCTACGCATCCCATACCCCTTCACTTGCTAATTCTCACTAGGCCGCTGAAACCGCTGCATACATGACCACCACACATCCAGACTACGCCATCCTCGCCGCCCGTATAGCCGTGTCAAATTTGCACAAGCAGACCAAGAAGCAATTCTCTGCTGTTGTGCACGACTTGTACAGCTATGTCAATCCCAAGAATGGCAAGAGCCAGCCCATGATCTCGGATAAGGTCTACAAGATCGTCATGGCTCACGCCGACGAGCTCAACTCGGCCGTCGTTTACGACCGTGACTTCAACTACCAATTCTTTGGATTCAAGACTCTGGAGCGCTCCTACCTCCTCCGCATCAATGGCAAGGTTGCCGAACGCCCACAACACATGATCATGCGTGTTGCGGTTGGCATCCACGGGGAGGATATCGAAAAGGCGATTGAGACATACGACTACATGTCGCAAAAGTACTTTACACACGCCTCGCCGACACTGTTCAACGCAGGCACTCCATCTCCCCAAATGTCATCCTGCTTCCTCATCGACATGAAGGAGGACAGTATCGATGGTATCTACGACACCCTCAAGACGTGTGCATTGATCTCCAAGACTGCTGGCGGCATTGGTCTCAATGTGCACCGCATTCGTGCTACTGGTTCATACATTGGTGGCACAAACGGTACTTCGAATGGTTTGATTCCTATGCTACGGGTCTACAACAACACGGCTCGCTACGTCGATCAGGGTGGCAATAAGCGTCCTGGTGCTTTTGCTATTTACCTTGAGCCCTGGCACGCCGATGTCTTTGGATTCTTGGATCTCCGCAAAAACCACGGCAAGGAAGAAGTTCGCGCCCGCGATCTCTTTTACGCACTATGGATCCCAGATCTATTCATGAAGCGCGTCCAAGAGAACGGCGAATGGACACTCATGTGCCCCAATGAATGCCCAGGCCTCGCTGATGTCTATGGGGATGAGTTTGAGGCACTCTATGAAAGCTATGAAAAGAAGGGCAAGGGTCGCGAGACCGTCCGCGCGCAGAAGCTCTGGTACGCCATTCTCGAGGCTCAGACTGAAACTGGTAACCCCTTCATGCTCTACAAGGATGCATGCAACCGCAAGAGCAACCAGAAGAACCTGGGAACCATCCGCAGCTCCAACTTGTGTACTGAAATTATCGAATACACCGCTCCTGATGAGGTCGCCGTGTGCAACTTGGCCTCGTTAGCGCTCCCATCATTCGTCGACTACAAGCGTGGCGAGTTCGATTTCAAGAAGCTCCACGAAGTCACTCAGGTGGTCACCCGCAACCTGAACAAGATCATTGAAGTGAACCACTACCCGGTTGAGGAGGCACGTCGCAGCAACTTCCGCCATCGTCCCATCGGTATGGGTGTCCAAGGTCTCGCCGATGCATTCCTTGCCCTCCGTCTGCCATTCGAATCACCTGAGGCCAAGAAGCTCAATATTCAGATATTTGAGACCATTTACCACGCTGCCCTCACTTCATCGTGTGATATTGCAAAGGAGCTTGGTCCATACGAAACATATGCGGGCTCGCCAGTCTCTCAAGGTATCCTCCAGTACGACATGTGGAATGTCACTCCCACGGACCTTTGGGACTGGGCTGCTCTGAAGGAGAAGATTGCTCAATACGGTGTTCGCAACTCACTTCTGATTGCACCCATGCCTACAGCATCCACTTCCCAGATTCTCGGCAACAATGAGTGCTTCGAGCCATACACATCCAACATCTACTCTCGCCGTGTGCTTGCTGGTGAGTTCCAGGTCGTGAACCCATGGTTGCTCAAGGATCTTGTCGACATGGGTCTGTGGTCTGAGAATATGAAGAACCGCATAATCGCCGAAGGTGGTTCCATTGCCAGGATCCCTAATATCCCCGAGGAGACCAAGACATTATACAAGACCGTCTGGGAGATCTCTCAGCGAACCATTATTCAAATGGCAGCCGACCGCGGTGCCTTCATCGACCAGTCCCAGTCCCTCAACATTCACATGAAGGAGCCGACCATGGGTAAGATCACCTCTATGCACTTCGCTGGATGGAAGCTTGGCCTCAAGACTGGCATGTACTACCTGCGCACCATGGCTGCATCCGCACCCATTCAGTTTACTGTCGACCAAGAGGCTCTCCAGGTCGCAGACACCAACGTTGCCCGTGCTCTACCAAAGGTCCGCAAGCAACCTGGTTTCCAAAACTCTCCCGTTACTGCCTCGCAAACACCATCTTCGGCACCACGGCCAATGTATGCGACCAAGGCACCGAACGGTGCTGCCGATGTGCCAACACCAGTTGCCACACCCCCTCCGACTGCCGAGGTGAGCAAGGGCGCACACGTCGAGAATGCTCTCGCGTCGAAGCCATTCAAGGCTGACGCAGAGGAGGCCGAGAGCCCAAAGGTGCTCGCAGCTGATGCTGCCAGCAAGCCAGACGACGAGGTCGCTGCAAAGGCCAAACAAGATGAGGATGCAGATGGTGATAGCGCCACACGGGACGGTGATATCTACGCTGATGCTGTCCTGGCTTGCTCGATAGAGGACCCAGAATCGTGCGTCATGTGCAGCGGTTAGGTGCCTTGTCAGCAACACTGTACATTGGCAAAACGATTCTCAACTATCGTTTAGTTATTGTTATCGGTTCACGGGCTCTGGGAATAGGAGCCGGCGTTTATGATGGGTTTTGTGCTCTGGATAGCTGTTGGAATCGCGACACGGAGGCATGAGTTGATGAGTTAGGACGCACATGTTCAGGGATTTGGATACGCACAACCGCAGTCATAATATGAACTATCGAATTGATGTACCTTTGACGATACCCGCCCGCTCATACTTTGATCTGAGGAATCATCTGGGGTACCCCGTGTCGTACTTGTCCTACTGTCGATGCATGTACCGTATGTACCCTTTGCAGTCCAAACCTGATTGGTGCAATCAATGCTCCGTCCAAGTAACCGCGGCTCAATTCCGATGGTCCCTTGCGAACACTGCTTCCCCACATGCGCCCTACACCAGAGTACATACACGCCTTCACAGTTGCAAGATTCCCCCTAGCCCTTACCGAGCCCGTCTTTGGACCTCAGCTCTCTCCAATTGCATCCCAAGACCCAATCCCCAAGAACCCTCTTTACCCGCTGCACCCACACCACACCTCTCCCGCTCCCCCAACGCCCGTCCCGCCTCCAATTCTCCCCTCCACACGACCCCACCTCCGGCCGTAATCCAGACACACACGCTAGTTTTGTGTGTATATATATAGCGATACATATATATATATATATATATATATATATGCTCCTCCCGCGCTTCCTCCTCTTCCGTACACGCTTTCCATCGTCCATCCTACGCCTACGCACGACGCAACGCACTTCGCCTTTCATATTCGACGTATACCGCACCATGGCGACTGGATCTGCTCCGCTGCAGGAATGGCTCGTTATCATCCCGGATCATGTTGGTGCGCTGAACAAGCGGCTTGCGGCGCGGCCGAAGCATTTGGAGGGGTTGAAGAAGGATAGGGAGGATTTGTGGTTGTGGGGTGGTATGTTTGTATATTTTTGTTTACTCGTCACTTTGCAGGTCTTTGTTGGAGGGGTTCTGCTTTGGATATGTACCTGGTGCATTATTCCAGATTCTTCCTGAAATGCAATGCAAAGTTTATGGGAGTGTTGGAGATGGGCTGACGTGGATTTGTTGTAGGCGCTATGCTCGAGGAGCCTATCGAACCTGGGTCCACTGATCCGCCCAAGATGAAGGGTAGTGCCATGTTGATTGGTGCAAAGACAAAGGAGGAAGTCATCGAGAGGGTTAAGAAGGATGTTTATGTCGACGAGGGGGTGTGGGATCTCGAGAAGATACAGATTATTCCGTTTAAGAGCGCGCTGAGGAAGGCTTTGTAGAAGTGGTCACGGTACTTTGGCCTCGATGTCATATACTATAGATCTCAATGACAGACGGCATCATGCTGAAGCCAGATATTCAGTGGAACTTGGCACGTGCAATCAACCACTTGATTCCTGTGAAGCAGCTTCTAACAAGCCAGACACCGTCGTAACAACATACCCCCTCCTCTTCAACTCGGGCAAAACCTTCCTCAACATCGGCGCCGTCCAGCTCCGGCGATCATGACAAATAATAATACTCCCACTCCTCACCATACTCAACACATGCCTCGCATTCAGCCACGCATACCCTATCTGCGGATCATGCGGATACACACCGCCCAACACCATCCTGTACCCCATGCCCGCCACCACCTCCCTCATCCACGTGCTGAAAAACCCACTCCCCGGGCGAAAATACCGCGGCGGCCTCGACACGCCAACCGCCTCATACGTGCTGTTGATCAAGCGGTCTACGCTGCTAATCTGTGCCGCCAGATTCTCCGGCCCCAACCCCCTCGACGGCTCGTCCCGCATGGCATGATTCCCCAATTCCATGCCCCGTCCCACAAGCTCGGGCAGCACCTGCTCGCGACCAGCCACTTGTGCCCCGATGACGAAAAACGTGGCCCTGGCGTCGTGTTCGCGCAGTACGTTTGCTATTTCCAGGGTAAACTCCGAGGGCGCGTCGTCTATGGTTAGAGCGAGGATTTTTTGCTTTCGCGCGGGTGAGGAGGCTGCTGGTCGTGGCGGGAGTGATACGTGCCAGAGGACGTCGGGCCAGCGGTGGGCAAAGTAGCGGATGAGTAGGTGTGGTGGCTTGTAGATGATGTAGAAGGGTGTGAGGAAGGTGAGGAGTGTGAGGAGGGCGAAGAGCATGGTTGCGAGGCGTTTTCGGCGGGCGCGCGTGGTGGGTAGACGGAAGATGCGG